CGGATGATAGCATTTTGGAGGCGATCGCAGAGAACGATGTATGTCTCATTACCGATATGGTCAGCAGTCCATCTACCGTGGATATGGCAGGTTGGTCCAAAATAATATCGTGACTGAGAATCCGACAAAATTAACCATCATATACCCTAAGCTGTCAAGGATTTGAGAGAGCTAAGTTCTTTAGCAACAACATGTATGACGTCGTCCTTTTCGGTCCTACTCAGCTTATGAGTCGTGAGTCCTGAAGGCCATACCATTTTCTTTGAAAAACGAGTCTCGAAACTCCTTTTTTTCCCACCTCTTCTTTAGGTGCAACGAGAGAAGGTGATTCATGAATTTGCCATTCATTTGAGGTGTTTTTTCCCAGGACCAGACAGCAACTCAATATATTATTGAGATAATTAGCACTCGCCGCAATGTAATTTTGAAGAAAATATTGAAACAAAGTGGACTAATTCAAAATTTGAATTAATTCTCAGCGAAAGATGAGTCAGTAACAACATGCGAAATTGAAAAGTAATTTTGGAAAGCAAATAAACACTCTAAACTAAATTTGGAAAACTTACCACAGTGTTGAAAACATTACAGTTTATAAACGGCTCTTATAAGCTCTCTTTTGGGGACATAGAAAAATTGAAAGTAAGAGAGAAATTCAACAGCTCCCAAATTGGCTTACACCCAAAGGTGTGGGCAGCTGAGCCTGCTCACGAAGGGACCTGATAGTGTGACACTCTCGATCCTTGGAGGGCCTTTGGTTTGTTGTTGTAAAACCGAAAGGTTTGAAAATTCACTGAAATAATGTGGTATAAATTGAACCGTATATCATAGTTCACCTACTGTGTACCTAGAGAAAATATCTTGGAGGAATATGTTATTCTCGGTAGTGTTTATTGCAAATGTGTGCAGCTTTAACAGAATTGGCACTGGGATTGACTCCCCAGCGGCCGATCACTCGAGAAAAGGCCACATTGTTAGCGCCAGAAGAAAGTGCTGTGAGTACAACTCCACCTGAATTGGACGATGACGACCGACCTGGAAAAGTGAAAAGTACCACATCATATCTCACGCTACAGGAATGAGAAAAAGGTCACTCGGTTTTTAGTGCTGCATTTGGAACTTTGCGAGAACTGGGGCTCGCCTGATGTGATCGGACTTGCTGGTTTGGAGTTGCTTGGTCATAAAAGCAAAGTAATTGACCCAGCCACTTTCACAATCACATCAAGCTCGCAGAGTGATCCTCAGAAGTAAGCTCAGATCATCAGATTGACAAACTACATTGATATCTCACATCTTTTAGACTTCTCAATGGCAAAAACTTAACGCGCTCGGCTGAGGACATGTGGCTAATTCCTTTCGATCCCAAACAACACCCGACAATCACTATTAATTTTCACAAACCCACCACACTTACCGGTCAAGTCTTAGAGTTTGATTGTACAGGTGAATGCTGAAGAAGTAATTTTAGGCATATCGTTCTGGAATTACAATTCATCACCTGAAATGTCTTACGCTGGTGTTCGTCTATTTCACATATTCATCAATAGTCGTCTAGCTGCTAGCAACGTGTTGCTGAGAAAAGCACCAGGTGAATTCTGCAGTCGGCTGCTCAGCTAATACTCTTTTAACCATGCACAAAAGAATTACAGATTGATTTCACGGTTAAGAAACCAACACCACGAAAATTCCTTTGCAAAATTCTTGAGACCAAAATGGACCTCTATATCACTCCCGCAATTAGATCACTCGCATCGCCAACTACTTCTTTTGACTACAAAAATATTTTTGATGCATAATCTACTCAAAAAATGCTTCTCTATCCCTCATATCTTCCTACATCTTTATATAAAACTAGCTGGCATACCTGGCTTCGCTCGGCTTTTTTGTTTTCTGCGCTGTTTTTTGCAGCTGACCACTCGCTGTTTTTGCATCTGACTAATCTATCTCATCTGATTCTGCGTGAACTGCTCACATTTGTGCAGGCATAATTTAACGCGTTTATTGAATAGTACTTGAAAATGAGGGTATGTACTATGTGATAGAATCTTGATAATATCGAACTGCATTCGGCGTAATTTGATAAATAGGGTCCAATTTTGAAACCTTAAAAGTACGTTGGGAGTGGGACCTGGGAGTTGCTAGCAATATATGTACCCGCTCTGCGTCTAGAACTTTTCCATTTG